TCAGCAGGATGAAAACTTTTCCTGGATGTTTCAGACTAAGCCTGGCCCAAAACTTAAATAAGACTTCTGCAACTAACTTTGCTGCCAGAACTTTATCCTTCATGTGAAAAAAAATCCCTTAACTGACAGTTTCATATGACAAGAACAGAGATTTTAACTCCTCCCCCTTCCTGATCGCCTGGGATGACCCCTGTGTCTTGCCTGTCCATCAGATCTACAATTGCCTTTGCCTTGGACCTGCTTCCAAGACCTCACATCCAGGTCGTCTTTTGCTGACATTTCTTGCATAATACATTTAAAATACAGCTTTTTACTGTACCTAAAACACTGGGCACCTGTCATTTCAATTACTGCAATTTGGATTAGCTGGGGATAAAGGTGGAGAAAAGGGGCTTTGATACCTCCCAGCCCCCAGTCCCACTGGTCTCAAAAATGGGATGCAAACCCCCAAACCCCGTGTTTTTCTCAGGCCTGTCTCCTGAGATCAAAGTCACATCTGCTTCTGGTCATAGGGTTGATGATAAACTACAGAATCTGTAAAGGACATCCACAGTAAATCTGTGCTGAGTATGATGTGTTCTTACAGCTTTGCCAAACAAGGCAGGGTAAAAGAATTGGAATGCATTGCCCAGATAATTTTTATTTAGCTGCTTCATAATTAAATCCATAGAGCCAGCAGGTGGCTCCACCTTCCCTATGATCTGTGGAAAAGCAAGCAAGGAAAAGAGCTATTGCTTGAAATACATATTTAGCAGTAGCTGGAACCCAGTAAAGACTGCATAGGGGTTTCTTGGAGCTAAAGAGCGCTGGTAAAGTGGTCTGGGAAGGGAGCTCAGAATTTGCAGGATAACGGAGGAGCAAACAGGAGAGTGAGATAAAAGAAAACAACGAAAAAAGCATTGTTCAGTCCAGCAAAGCGCAGACAGAGGAAGGATTTCTTGGGGTGTCTGGTTGCAGAGGGGTTTGTGCAATGCCTGAAATAAGAAGGGTGGTTAATGGGGACAACGGTACCTCAGTGCCCAGAGCCTTTTTGCCACTGCTCAGATATCCAAATGCTAACTGATGAAGTTCAGCCACATGCAAAGGACAAACCTGAGGTCCATGTATCTCCCATCCTCTGCTTAAATCTTGCACTGCACTTCTAGTGTTGGCAATTCAGCACGCTGCATCCTGACCTAAAACTACTTCAACAGCTTCCCTGTGGCCAGTAAGTCTTGTGGATCTTGTTCTTGCAGGCATGTCATGTATCCAGCAGTGGTGAACACCTTGTTTGGGAAAGGCATCTGTCCGACAAGTCAGAGCGAAATCAAGGAGTTTGAAGAACATTTTCAGAAGTATGATGAGGACTTCGAATATGCTTCTCAGATGCCCGAGTGCTTCCTGAGGTAACGGAGCAGAGATGATGCACGTGGTGTGCCATTGTAGGCATTTTGCTAGCTGGGATATCACTGTCTTTATCAATGATGTGTCCTTGGGTCAGGCAGGCTTTCAGCCTGGTGCTTCAAAAAAGTTCTGACCTTGTCTTATGCATTTTCCTGGCCTAAGGCAGAAACAACCTCGCTTAGGTGGGCAGGGTCCAGCTTGGACCTGTGAGGGAGCAGCAGAACTGGGCAAAGAGCAGAGGCCTGAGCCTAAATGTGACCCCCAAGCTGAGGGGGTCCCCAACGATGCATCTCTCTGGTCCTTCCTACACTTTAGCTGTTTTCCCAGCAGGCTTTTCCCAGGTTACACAGATGCACTGCTGCAGAGCTCACCTTGCACAGAGACAGTCAAACTCCAAGGAAGGGAGCCTGTCAGTGCTCTCAGAACCATGACAGCACCTTCAGCACCTCAAAACAGCCTTCAGAAAGAACTAAGGATGCTCTAAAAATGTGGCCTTTATTTTCTCAGGGAAAGTCCCAAGATTGGTCTAAGCCACAATTGTCCAAATCCACAATGAAAACTTGTAGTGGAATAGAAATGAAAATCTAGGAGACTTGCAGTCACAGGTTCTGGCTGCAAGATGAGATCTGGCCAAAGTGGAGGTTTCAGACGTGCTGTTCCTCATGTCAGTCAACGCTACTGTCAGCCAGACTGACATTTGACCATTCGTCAACTGACCGCTGCCCAGGGGCTCTTGGAAAGAAACCAAGGAGTCCTTCTCATGGAAAAGGAAATGTTGGTTTGTGCTGCCTCAGTTAAGTGCTGCTGTTTGTTGCTTTTCTTTACAGGAACTGGTCTAAATCCAAAAAATGGCTTCTAAAATTATTTGAGAAAGTAGTGTCAGATGCTGAAAGGACCAACCCTTCAGAGACCACATCCAAGGTAAACATTTGAGGCTATAAAATAAGATTACTTTGTTGTATATTCTGACCAGAGCGATGGAGGGCAGGGATTATTTCTGTACTAGAAGAAATAAACCAAGTATGTCAGCTTTGATAGCTGTACCTCAGTTGTCCTGTACTGCTGTCACCTACATTAGGACAGACCAATAATTCTGAGTCCTACTCATAATTGAGTTTATTTCCTGCAATTCTGAGAACTGTCCTCTTCCTCTGGGGAGTTTTAAGCTGAGGGTTCAGAGCTATGACCCGTCGTCAGCCTCCGGTATCACAGTTGCAGTGAGCAGTTGAAAGAGGTGAGAGAAAGACCTCTTCAGTTGTTTCTCTGTGAGATTTCAAAACCTTACATGTCCTATTTTTAAACCCTGGTGTAGAGTGAGTAGATCCTCCAGCAGCCAGACTAGTAGAAAATAGCAGATTACTGGATTGGAAGCCAAGTACCCTAAATATTGATTGTGTCAAAGCTGTGATAAGTTATCCCCTTGGTTATTCTCCTTAGCTATGGCAGGAATTCTGTCTATAGACCTGACAAACATGAGGGCAGACTGGCCTGGGAATTTTGGTCTACCAAATGATTATGGAACAGGTCATTAAACAAACCAGGTTTTATTTAGACTTTAAAAGCATTACATACCACAGTTTCTTTCATAATATAAACCAGAATAATGGAAAGAAAGAGAGGGCTGGAGAGGGGATGGTGGGAGGTAAGAAGGTGCAGGAAGTAGGAGGCATGAACTTAAGAGTGGTCATTCTTTATTAAGGTCAGCCTTTTCCGCTCTGAAAAGCAGAGAGGAAGCTTTGCCTTGAATGCATGGTTGCCCTGTATTTAAGGAAATAAATAAACAAAAGCTAATCTGAGAACATTACACAGTTGCTGTAATTTCAAAGAACAACAAGCCATTGAAACCACTGGTTAGGTCACTAACGAAGCACCTGGAACTAGGGATGTATGAGGCCATCTCTTCATAACGAGCACTTTTTTGGCAGGAACAGAGAACATTTTCTTCATTTCCATTCATTTATCTAGTTCAGTCCCATTTTCAGGTTCATTAAAGTAGAGAAGTAGAGCAGGAATTGAAAAGGAATAGTTTTATGTTTTTCTTTCTTCCACATATAAGCAAGAACGCGGAGTGAGAGAACCAAATCCCTAAAAACTTTTAAGAAAGTGGAGGGCAGTGCAGGTATTGAGTAGGGATTCATGTGGTGCTTTGACTGCCTGAGCGAGTCCCACTTTCTCTCGACAGCTGTCCTCTCACTACTTTGTGACTGCAAACAACCCATAAATAACATTATTTCTCTTTGATAAACTAATATTATGTTATATCCTTGAATTCTAGTAAGCCCTACCCTAAACCAGATTTTTATATATTTTTGGAAATACACATTATTGGCTTTTTTTTGTAACAGACGCTACTGCAACATCTCCTGGATAACTTGCAAGGAAAACATCTGGGTCCCAATTATGGTCTCCTAATGCTCTGGGCTTCGCAAGCAAATGCTGTCCCTGTAAGTACCTCAGCGAGAGAAACACCTTCCCTCTGCCCTCTTCAAAAGCCTGGATTTGGGAAGCAAAGACTTCGAACCAGAGGTCACGCACACTGCATGTATTCCAAAGAAGAGATTATCAAGCCCACGCTCATCACTACAAATATACCCAGGCTGCAGTGTCACAGAAGCAATGACAAGAAAAGCTGCTCTTGTATTTTTCCTAAATTATGATGTCCTCTATCATAACATTTCAGGAACATGTGTCTCATAGCTATTAAGATCATAGTCTTAAGCCATGAAGAGGAGTTAACTCTATTTTGAAGCACTGTGGCTGTATTCTAGTAGAGACTCTATTTTAAATGGCCTGGTGTTAGCAATTGTAAAGAATATCAAAAGCATCATGTAGAGCAACTTCATCTGTGTGTAAATCCGTGAGGGAATTTGGCTCTTTTGCTTTGGGGGATCTGCTGTACAAATGCCAGTGTTGCTTCAGGAGGAGAAAAGCAATAGTTTGATTCTACTGCCAGTTAAGTTTTGCCTATGTTAGAAACGGATTTGGCAGATTAATGATACAGATATATGCATGCTAACAAGCCCAATATATCTAACACAGCTTCGGCAGACCAAAGACATTTATAGGAATTTCTCAGATGAAAAATCCATGGCAGCAAAAACATCCTTTATTTACCATGACTACTAAGCTCTTTCCAGCGCTGTTACGTCCGTTACAGATGTGATTTAGAAAAAAAACGATAGTGAGTTATTTTTATGTGTACTCCTAAAGGATATATCTGGGTTTTTTTCTGTAGATTGGCTATTACTACAATTTACCCTTAAGGGATTTCATCCATTTTCAGTGGGGTTGCTGTAGATTCACATGTTGGTACAAGCGAGAGGCATCGCCTGCTGTCTGTTATCAGGATAACTGACATTCCTTCCACAACACTATCATCACTTACTTCAGTAATATTCAGCTGTAAATAGCCGTACAGATATTTCGTTGTTTCTCAGAATAGTCACGACCGCCGCTCTGCTGACTGGAATGATGAAAAAAGGCCTTTCACCTTCCACGGGGGTTTTTTACAAGCACATTAAACGCTTTTATCTGGAACAATTCAATTATCCCTCCTCAGCCCATGGAGTGAAGCCACAGAGTCCAAGTGCTGCACGAGAAAACTAAGCCACCAGATTTGTTTTGCAGAAGGAGGGCTGCAGCCATGCGGGGCTCTTTGGAAAATAGCAGTGAGGGTTCTCATCCCTCACCAGCACAGATGGCCTGCGACCAGATCTGCGTGCAGACTGCGTCTCCCGCTCGCTCAGCAAGAGGAGAGAGACTCCTGGCAGTGCTGCGAGTCCTTCTGGTTTCATCCTACTTAAGAGGATTTTCTCCTTTCCTAAATTTCTTGGTTTCCAACTTCATTGCATAATCAGTTAGCGAATTATTTCTAAAGGGGATATACTACTGCTTGTTTTGCTGTTAATTAAAACTTTTCCTACCCATTTTAGCATGACTCACTGTGACAATGCCCTGTAAATTATTTAACCTCATTTCTGCTAATATTAGTAGGAATTCACAATTTAATTTTTCTTCCATTCATGCAGCTAAATCTAATCACGCACAATGATTTAGTAATTCATTTTAACACCTAGTTATTTGGAATTAGAGAAAGGATTCTGTGTTTGAAAGCCAAAGCTATGTAATGTTCACTGAAGATAAGTACACAGCAGATGACTAGACCTAATCTCCCAGGATCTGAGCCCTTGATGTGGATTTACCCCGGAAGCACGGCTCCCTCTGCACCCCAACCACAACACGCACATCCAAAAAAGTACAAATGTTTTCACCTACCTTCGTGATTTGCTACAAAGATTCTGTAATTCTGTTCCTTATTCCTGAGTTAAAGTACTTTCATCTCTTTTTAGGTTGCATTTTGGACCCTTGTTTTCATACTCTCTTATCCTTCCATTTACGAGAGAATCATGGAAGACCTGGCTTCTGTTTTTGGCAAAGCAGGTAATAAATCTGATCGTGTGCTTCTGGATCCTAGAAAAGATTTATTCTGTGTTGGCCCAGCACAGGGCACGCTTGGTCAATAGCTGGGAATAATGAATGTTGCTGCTAAAGGTACTGATGATGTCAGAGTCCAGCTCTGAGTTCTTTACTCAACATATGCTCAAGACATATTTTTAAGCAAAAGCAGGCAGAAAAAGAACCATGTGTATTTGTCTTTTCATTCTACAACCATCATTTAGACCTAGGTTTGTATTAACCAGTCTTGTGCTTTTTTCATGCATCTATGATAGGGTCAGATGAGGTCTTCCGATTCAGCTGCTTTTCATGGTGTCATGTTCACCAAAGTTACAGCTCATCTGTGCAAAAACAGGCCAGGAACTGCTCTCTTTTCTCTCACCTGAGGCAAATTTGTCCAGCATGATTCACCCCCACATGAGTAAGCTCTTTCCCTCAAAAAGCAGTCACCTACTGGGAGAAGCCACTCACATATGCAGTTCCCTGAACCACGCTTAAACTTTCATGGAAGACTCTTAGCTGACATGGGTCAGAACCACACCAAGGAAATATATCAATAATTAACCAATAAGGATAATCATGAATCAGTGCTTAAGCCTTTCTCCTGGCCCTGCTTTATTTGCTGGTGCTAACATAGCCCAAGAGCTCAGCCATGTGGTGCCTACATACAGTCGCTGAGATTTCCATGCAGAGTCCTACCAAAGTACTGACAAAGCCCAAGGACTCTTCGCTTCCAAGATGACCTTTGTTTGGCCTCTTCTGGCCAATGCCATATCTACAGCTACCTTTACAGTTATTAAACCATCTTCAGTGGCTTTTCTTAAATTGTACTGATTTTGGTCCATTTATTTACTTTGAAATATAAAGAAAACTAGGAGTAAATAAGGTCTTAAAGTCTTGAGGTGTTCTATTAGAAGGTCTAAGGCAAGACATGTCAGCATGTATAGAAACAAGTATGAAATCTGATTTTTAAACAGAGTCTTCTTTCTCATGCCACAACAGGTAAAGATAAACTAGAAGTCTCTGAAGAGGACCTGAAGAAGCTCCCTTTTATTAAATGGTGCACTCTAGAAGCCATACGGCTGAGGTCTCCAGGTGCAATCACCAAGAAAGTAGTAAACCCTATAAGAATTCAGGTAAGGTTGGCTTTTTTCTTGGGTTCTCCCCCCAAAAAAATAAAGGACAGTCTATGGTTTGTCTGGAAAGTTGCTTCCCAATAGATCTAGATAAAATTAAAACAGTAGAGATATTCCACAATCTCACGCATATCTTCTGTTTAGTTTAACAGATTTATCCATCATCATTATTTTAATCGTCCTTAATTTACAAGTGGTTTTGTTTCTTTAGCTCATAGTCTTACTTTTATTTTAGAATTGAATTTAAATTAAATTGGATTGAGCTGAAGAGACTGTGCTGATGGTAAATGAAACAGTAATCAGACACAACAAATACAGTAAAAGCCACCATGATTGAGTAACTGATAAAACTCCTCCTTTTCCACTTGTTCTCTTCAGTGCCATTCAGAGGAGGAGTGCCAGCATTCAGAAGCCTAACAAATAAATGTTTGGGAGAAAAACACTCTCTTAAGGAATCAGCACTCATGCTTTTTTAAGAAATTACTAAAGCCCTATAAAGGTCTATTGTCATAGAAGTATTGCTATGAATTTCTTTGCATTTTGAAGGAAATGCTTAACAAAAGATTTAGAAGAAAATATCCGTTCCCATGGTACAAGAAGTGGGAAAGACAGAAATAATGTTTCTATTATTTCTATACCTGAAAACAACAAATGAGATAAAAAATAGTCTCTCCACATTCTCTGCTGTTTAGGTCTTTCTTATGGAAAAAGGTGCAACAGCAAGAAAAGCCTCAAACATGTAATATGCCCACTGTGGCTTTACCACCTTCACTTGCCCTCTGTTGGGACCTTCTGCTGATGGAAGAGGAGTGCTAAGGAGGGACTGTTTTGTGAGTAGAATCGATGATTTTCTCTTCTCTTACAGTTTTTTCTCCGTTTCAGAATTTCACCGTCCCTGCAGGTGACATGCTGATGTTATCGCCCTATTGGCTGCACAGGAATCCAAAATATTTTCCTGACCCAGAAATGTTCAAACCTGTAAGTTGTCATCTCGGCGTGGGTATTTTGCTGTCTTTTCTCCTCTTCACTTATTTCACAACAAAATCACATGGGCAAATCAGCTTAAAGGTGGGTATTTCCTATCGTCTGGAGGATGGCCTTGCATACAGAGATGATGTGCACAGAAAGGAGGAGCCTGTAGGAATAAGCAAGACTTTAAAGTTCAGTTATAGATTCCAAATAATATAGTACTACTTTACATCATTTTGAGCTCGATTCAGTGGAAAGACCCCACTGAT